GATCAGAAAGGACCCTTTGGTTCTTCCTTCATTATGGAAGGACGTGCTGAGATTCATTCAAACTGAAGCCGTTGGCCAGCCTGAATGAAACAAATGAATTTTTGTTGAATTTATTTTTGTTGGTTTTAAACATTTTCTGCAAGGGAAACCCTCCAAGGCCAATACTAGCTTAAGTTTATCTTTTAAGAAGAACAAAGAGATTACTCTTGACTGATTTTCAATGTTAGCAGAAAAATCAATATGAAATAAAAACTCCTAAGTACCTACCTGGCACGCAGCACCCTTGCTCTCGTTATATCACAAGCCTAAATGCACAGTTTAGAACGTTTAAGACTATCTTTTTTTTCTTCAAAGCATGATTAATGTAATTGGTAATATATCACCTTAAAAATCCCTTTGATTTCAGAAATGATTTTTCTCTTCTCCAAGGACACTGTCTCCTTTCAGCATTTTCTAATAAATATCTGAGCGTATACCTGACAAGCAGCCAGATAAAAGCAGGCTGTCAAATCACTTTTCCACAATAGGAAACTCATTTATATGAAATGCTCCTATGGAGTGACTGTGTATGTATGCAGGAAAGGGTTGGAGGAAGGTGACCTATTCTTTTGATTTATATCTACAGGGGTTCTGGCATACTGCTGGACACTTGTTGCGGTTAAATAATTATTAGATTGTATTCCAGGAAAAACGAAACATATATCCAATTTTATTGTGAAAATCATGCAAAATAGCCAAATGAACTGTTTGCATTTCATTCTGTTGGACCGCACAGTGCAAGGTCTCTGCAATCACTCACTGTCATACGTAATACGACTACCAAATGCCTGAAGGCGGGGAGTGCTCTGTTACTGTCACACTGTGGATAATTTATGCTGATAGTCCTCAGGCACATCTGAGATGCAGGACATACTGGATGTTATTCTGTTGCCTCCGTGTCAACTGTACTTTAGGGCAACCTGCTGATACTGCAGTGATGGGATCCCAGGCATTAAACTGCCAGCAGCTGAGGTACGCACGGAGCATTGGCCTATTACTCTTCCAAATCCATCCTCTAGCACTGCTTCTGGCCTGTTATGAAACATCATAAAAGTAGGTGCAGACTGAGAGATGCGAAAGCAGGCTAAGATACACAAGTCCTCATAGTAAGCAGGTTCAAGAGGGGACAACCAATGTGACCAATTCAAACAAAAGTGCTAGACCACCGTGACCTCCTCTGCTCCCATCCTAGGCAAAGGTTCATTAGCTGCTAGCCTTGTAATCACGCTGACAAATATATTCCTGCACTCAGGCAAATGGGGTTGCATTTCTGCAGCAGGACTCGGACTAGCACGTAGGCTTACATCTTTCACTTGCAGCTTTTATGTTGCTGGCCATCTGAAGACGCTGTACGCACAGGCCTTAAAGCAAGCGAGGATTTGTGCTTCCTAAGAAGTCTGCTAGACCAGATGTAGGCAAGGGAATGCACACAGACACAGAGAATGACACAGAAACGATGGGACTAGTGATTTGCTTTATTCGAACACGTGCAAGATCCACCTCTGTCCCTGGATTTTAAGACCTGGTCCAAACCCCACTGAGTCCAGGAAATCTCTCTGGGCTTTAATGGGTTTTAATAATTGGAGATTTAACTTAAAATATTAACAATATACCTCTAAATAAAACGATTTTATGATCTTTGCTCATGTGCTGATGAATAGCAAAACTGATATAAAATGTGGCATGAGCAAATATGCAGGTCTATTTACGGATTTGCAAAGGAAGCCTTGCACAGCACCTGCCTACACATAATTCTGGCTCCTGGCACGACTTTAAGGAGTATTGAATTCCTTCCCACCCACACATCTTTACATAAGTAAAAGCTTAAACATCAGTTCAGACTAAACATTTTTGAATGCAGAGTCCCTTGAGTGCAACAAAAAGAAACAGTGGTGTAAATGAGACTTTAATTTCCATCACGCTCAATAACTGATGTGCTAAAAACTTAGATTTTAAAATAGTGCATAGTTTATTTAAAGCTATTGATTCCTACTTCCAGTAAATTTATGTGTTCCAGCAGCACACTGTGTCTCCACTGGAGGTTGAGACCACCAGTAGATGTTATTCAACAAGTGGAAAAACTTGGTCTCTGTCCTGGCTAGCTGCCAAAAAGAGGTGCCAGAAATTATTGACTTTCAACTTGTTATGTGAGGAAGGACATCCTAGAGCAGAATTTCCTATCCTCTCATGGGTCCAGTGGATTTCTTCCACTGGACTATGAAAGTGAGGTCTAAGAAAAGCGATTAAGAAAGGCAGATTAAGTGCAGCTCGAAAATCAATGGGCTAGAGCATTAATGCAGGGAAAATTCATCTTAACCATTGTCACTGATATCTAGCTTTGCATAATAAGGCAGAAAATATGACAGTCTGATCATGCCTAATGATAATGAGGGTCTAAGAGAAAAGGAGTCCCTCAGACAGGGAAAGGTTTCTGAAAAACAACTAATAATAAATATCATTAGTTCAAGGGGATTGCAGGAGAAATTCTGAAACTGCCAGACTGGGGTTTGAGCTGGTGCCAACATTTAAAAGGTCAGAAAGCTGACGATTTTGTCCGTCCCTCCTGACTCCACCTGGGCTTTTGCAGGACAGCAGCAGCCTGTCATCTTTTTCACAAATTATGATGTGCTAGCATCTTAACACAACATCACTGGTAACCTGTACTTGGACAGTGCAGGGCAATGACAGGCCTGGAACGGCACCTGGCTGATCTCAAAGGGGCCCTGAAAGCACAAAGGGAGGCACAAACTGCTGCTGTCCGTCAGCATCAACGGAAAGGAGGAGAAACTGGCAAAAATCAGCTTCCACTTCGATGGAGAAAACAGCTCAGCTCTGTGACTTGACCAAGAGGCAAGTGTCAGCACTGTTACTGGCAGGTCAGGGAGGAGAGCGGCGTTCAAATCCCGCTTTGCTGGACTTGCCACAGCAAGAACGAGCTCCAAACCGACTACACCAGCGTCCAATGCACTTCTCACTGTATCTTAAGAGAAATATTATTCTTACTCCAGAATCCAACCTGAATACAGCTACTGCAAAACAGTGGCGACCTAGTGGGCCTAATTCATACTTCACACCGTTTCATTGAGAGCACCTGCACCAGCTCTGAGGGAATTTACACATTCGTATATGAGAAAGGAAGAGAAAGTTTTTTGTTTTTTTAAAAAAAAAAAACAAACTTGCGTCTTCCAAACTAATTTATTAAACTGAGCCTACATAAATACGAAAGAATGACAAATTCAATTGGCCTGAGTTCATGAAGGTAGCACCTGAAGTCTACATCTCAAAGGTATGTGCATTTTGTTTAATTTTTTTGCCTCTCATCAACCATTTCCCTGTAATTCATGCTATACACTTCCTGAATGAAAGAAGAAATTCATTTTCAGACGCTGTTAACCATGAAATGAATTCTCCAGGTTTCACTGCACATTAACATGATCTTTTTTCACATCCCCTCAAATCTATTACATAATTATTTTATAGCACACATTTTAATTTAATTTTGCTACCATATAAATACTGACTCTTGAATATGGATGTTTCTAGCATAAACATTCCGTTTCTATAATGATTTGAGAATAACTGATGACATTATATAGAATTAAAATTAAAAGAAAATCTTGTTCTGAATCTCAAACCAAAAGGTGGCAATGCTTAGGGAGAAACTATAGTTAAGCTATTCTACATAATTTACTTTTTTTTTTTTTTGACTTTGTTCTGCAGCATGTAGTCCTATTTATCTTTTTAAAAAGTTTACTAGAAAAGGCTGACCAAGAGTTTGATCTGATAAATTATTTCTTATGTGCATAGGATGCTACTGCCTTGTAAAATAGATATGCTTGTCTCTTGAAACAGGGCATAAATCAGATAACAAAGTAACACATTAAAACGCAGAAGCATGTTGGTCATCCAGTTGTTCTCCCCCTACCATGAGAAGGCTGCTGACTTGTAAGCTGTATTTGTAGTTCATGCTTCAGGCTAATAAACACAGGTCTCCTCCATAGAGACTTAGGATTATTATTACAAACGAGAAAAAGGATGGATAATTTGTCAATATTAGGGCTAACATTGTGTTCACCTTCAAACAGGCTAAACCATTATTTGCTTATGCTTCTCTCGAAAAAATGCTGAAAATGTTTTTTCAAATCTACTGTAAAGTCACTAAAAGGGAAGAATTAAAACTTGTTTATAGCTTATTCTTCAGCAAGACAGCTGTTTCCAACTGGAGGAACTGAACTGCAGATCTCAGTTAACATCTCTTCTCTAAACATCTCTGAGAACTTGAACATCTACTTGTTCTGCAGGGAATTCCTTACCCAGACAGTGAACACAGAAGGGCACTAAGGACTGTAGAAAAAAGGAAGCCTTCTTCCTTCATTTCAGATCTCTAGGCCTTCATTCTGGGGGGTTGTTGCCAAGAGGCAGTCTTTTCTTAAGATTTTCTGTAGGAAAAAGTTGCTCCTAAGAATCGTAAGACAGTTTCAGCTGGGAAGGACCTCCAGGGTTAGGCTGGCCAACCACCCGCTCAGAGCAGGAGACTGCTGAAATTAGAGGAGGTGGCTCAGCCCTTTGCCAGTTGACTTCTGACAATCTCCAAAGGTGGTGTTTGCACAACCTTTGCAGGTAACCTGTTCCAGTGCGCAACCACTTTCCCCATAAGGAATATTTTTCCTTCTCTTCTCCAAGTTGAGCAAACGTGGCTCACTCGGCCTCTCCTCAAGCATGACATCCTCCAGCGCACTAGCGCACCCGTGGCCAGTAGCCAACACCTTGCAGTTTGTCTCCACCCCTCTTGCACTGAGCGGAGGAGCGACAAAACCAGCCTTGATATTCCAGTCGTGGCCTCACCAGCCCTGAGTCGAGAGGAATAATCATTTCCCTTGACCTGCTGGCTCCTTCTTCTTAAAACTCTGTTAGTGGTTATCACAAAAATATCACATTCATATATTTAAATTAATACTCACCAGCCACTGCTGAGGTATTTCCGGTAGAGGCATTTGAGGAGGCGCAGGCAAACTGTTGGCAACTTCCTGTTTCTGAACATGTTCTTTTATTTCAAAACCTGCGGGAGAGGGACATACACCACTCAACACTTCAAATCCTGATGGAGTCAAATGGGATGTCCTTCCACCACCCGTACACTATGTTCAACAGTCACACACGGAAATCTGGCACGCAGCCCTTCCCGAGAGTCAGTCCCAGCTCATAGATTACCTCCAAAGTCCTGTTGCTTCGGAAAAACAGGAACCACCAGAAGGAATGTTGGAAATTAGGAATTTAATCAAGTAGAACAAATATATACTTACTAGATAGGCTAAAAGCTGCTTAGATCAACAAATACCAGACAGAGAAAAAAATTACAGGAAATCATTCTAAACTGGCGACTAATCTGCACTGAAAGATCTAAGGAGCTACAATTGAAACATTTTATCACACAGATAACAGCATTTATGAAAGGAAGATCCCTAACTTGTGACCATCTCAACCACACCATACGGCAAATAAAAGATCAGCAGTCTGCGGACCCTGAGCGGCCTGGGCCTTTCACCGGAGGAGACGAGGGACAGCTGCCCAGCTGCGGGGCTCGGGGTGCTGCTCAGCGCCCCCAGTCCAGATCATGCTGCCACTGAGGCGACGCTGGCCAACATTTCCTTCTTCCTCTCATCTTTGAAACAAGAACTGTGGTTTCCCAAGGGACTTGGAGAAGGGAAAAGAAGCTAATGCAAAAGCCGCTTTGAGGCTCCTTCCTTCTGCTATCAAATATCGCTCCCTGGGGAAGAGGAACGACCCCTTCGTTCTGAGACTTTGGCACAATGATTTCAATCCTGGTCGACCTCGCTTCACAAGAACACAACGCTGTTTATTTTTCTAAATATCAAAAGGGAGATTAGGGTGCATCTCCTCAATGTTTTGGCAAAAAGTCAGTCAATGAGATGCACCCTGCTTACCCCCCTAGACTGAATTTAGCTTCTAGTGTTTAGTTTAGTTATGAAAATATATATTTACATAGTCAAATGGATGTGTTTCGGTCAAGATCATATAATTCTCAAAAATGTAACCAATGATGAAATGTTTCTTGTCATAATAAGCCAGTCCCACTGGCTGTGAAGTCATGGATTGCAAAATAACGCTGATAAAATAAACTCTCTAAGGGCCATAGATACTTCTTTCTTCCTACAAATTGAGAGCAGGATTATTCTTGGGAATCATTCTTTTTTTTTTTTTTTTTAAAGTATAACTTTCACTTGCTCCTCTTTATATAGGGTGAATTCATATTATGACTGCTATCCATATCCCAGTCCACTATGCTTTCTGTAACAACCGGAAGTTAAATATGAGGGGTCTTTTTACCAGAAAAAAAAGTATCCCACATGAATGCTATTGACTCTGTAAAAGCAGTTTTTCCCCAAAGTTTGAAACAATGTGTGCTTAAGCAAGAAACTGCTCCAATATTTATTTTCTTCTACCAAATTGCACAGCAAAGTCAGCATTATAGGCTTATGACACTACAATTCTTTTAAGGAAAACAGGCAATGCTAATAGTCATATTAAATGCCTGAATTCACGAAAGATTCTTACTCCAAAATAAACTGTTTGTGTCTTTGTTTTTCTGAAGAAAGTTTGAGTTTCAGAAGGAAATGCCAAGTGTTTTCTTCAGACCTAAAATCCAATGAGCATGCCAAGATTCAGGAAGCAAAATAAAGTTTACAGTTTTTGCCAGTTAATCAGAGTAACTACCACATTGGATGTGGGGCGGGTTGAGGCCAGACAACTACTACCTGGCCCAGTTCTCACTGTCTGATGGCCATTCAATGAAGAAAACGGTGTGCGTTTAGTAGGTACAACGAAATATGGCAGGAGATTTCTAAAGAATTCTCCAACTAAGGACGTACTGAGAAAAAAGTTTAAATGGTTTAAAGTTCTACTAAAATCCACCCAGCCCATTATAATAATTTCCACACCTGTAAAAAGAAAAACGTAATTGTTCACTTCCAGATGTTATAAAGAATCCAGCCAGTTCCCAGTTGCACAGGTCCTTCATTAGCTTTCCCATTATGCTTAAATGGCTTGCTTCAGCAATAGAAATATGCTAGTGGATTCACACAGTTGATTTTCACAAATGCATATAAAGAGCCTGAACTCAGCATAATCCTCAGGCCTGTTAAACTATGCCAGCGTTCCTGAAGTTCATCTCATGGAGTTACGTGGGTGGAGTAAAGTAACATTTTAAAAAAACAGACTCAGAATGACAGCTCAACCGAGTTACAGCATATTGGAAGTTTATGCATTTTTTATTGCTTTTAATTTTAATGAAGAGATGAATAGTTTCGAAGGGATGGGAGTAGTGAATGTTATAACAGACCAAAAAAGCAGCAGGGTCATCTCCGTTAAAGTGTACAACTCCCTCTGTAGTTTCACACGCGCTTCCAGCTGCCGTGAGATGGCACAGGTCCCATGCAAGCTGCTCCACTCTTCCCTGCCCTGTTCCTGTCCTGGCACCAGTCCCTCCTTTGGGCCAGCAAAAGTACATGTGTGGCCTCGTGTTGAACCAGACCAGGAAGCTTACACAGGTTAGGACTAACCCAGCAAAAAAGC